ATACGAACGCGAAAAACATGATTGGTTTCCGCGAAATTACGGAAGTTCGACAAGCGCACACCAAGTTTATTTAAAACCGAGTTTGAAGGGCAGGAAATAATCGGGCTTTGCAGTGAAATGTACTTTTGCTTCAGTACATCAGATGCTAAGTACAGCTGTAAGGGGGTCAATAAGTATACAAATGCGATCGATAGAGACACCTATTTGCGTGCTCTTCGCAGCAAAGTAACAGGGTCCGCGACAAACAGAGGTTTTCGTGCAAGGGGATAGAGTATACGCAGGTGAAGAATGCCTTCGCAAACTTTTATGGTAAGCGGAAAGTCTGGACGATGGTGTAAGCACAACATATTTATAGACATCTAAGTATGATTATGTTTGTATGTACATATTTCGCAATCGTTCAGGTACGATAGTTTATCAATAATCTTTAACCAACAAAAAATATATGGCCTTAAGGATAAAGGAGCTAATTTAATTTTGTATCTATCGGAATGTATTTATCACACAGACACAATCACAAGGTCGCTGTTTATAACGCTATTGCTTGCTGAGGAAATAAATAAATAATTGCGTGTGTGTGTGTTGCAACGCCAAGAACTAAAATAATCGAATGTGTTGCCAACTTTAAAGTATGAATGTTACGAAACACTATCACTTATACATAGAATTTTAGGTAAAAATAAAATAGCAGAAGATGTTTGCTTGAGAGCAGGTGAAATGTTCGTGCGAGCAAAAATTATCCTAAGCATAATGAGAAGAGATAATGGATATTTTGTCACAAATCAAAGTAAGGTAAATATTTCGGTTCTTCGGAAAACATCCGAAGGCGACAACGCCTTAAATAGGCGACAACGCTTTAAATAAACGGAACGTGAGAGCTGGAACGAGCTAACAACGCCAACCCACACTTTTAAAACTCAATGTTCATTGACTGGATACAGATCACACCACTTGTTAGATCACGTGTACAAAGATACTCGGTCGAACCGACACAACAACACAATGCCTCAAGCTCAAAGTCTACCGAAGGCCCGATAGCGATCCTAGGAGACTCGATGTTAAAGAAACTAAGTCCTTCAAGATTACGCCGTTCGACTGGGAAAAAGATTATAGTCAAGCCGTTTCCTGGAGCAACTACTTCGGACATGAAGCATTATATTAAACTTACTCTGGAGAAAAATCCCCAACTAGTCGTGATCCACGTTGGAACAAATGACATCCAACATAAAGAGCCCGAGGAGATAGCTAAGGAAGTTGAATCACTGTGTAGAACTATCATGGTGAACGGCTTGTCAAAAGTCGCTATTTCAGAGATCATCCAGAGGGCAGATGACAAATTGAATACAAAAGTTAAAAAATCGAATGTTCTCCTGGCAAAGGTTTGTAAGAATAATAACTGGTCTCTTATTTCCAATAGTGATATAAATACTGCTAGCCTTAATGCATCTGGTTTACACCTAAATGATAGAGGAGCAGCAATACTAGCGAAGAACTATATTGATTTTTTTCGCAAATGACTATATTCATCACAAATATGCATTTTAGACTATCTTTGCCATATTAACAATTTATCTGATAAGTCATCGGAATCAAGAGTAAATGAACAAACTTCTACGAGCACTAGCTATAGCGAGAATACAAATGAAAATGAATCTTTAATTCCAAAAATTAGAGGCTTTAAAATGGCAAGCTTAAATATTGCTAGCCTTCTAAAACATATTGATGAACTGAGACTAGTAATGCATAATAATGATATTGACGTACTCGCAATTAACGAAACTAGAATGGATAGTACTACCAATTGAATTGATATCCCTATCCGGTTATACTTGGGTTTCCAAAGACAGAAATAGATCTGGTGGTGGTGGTGGCTTTTTCATACGTGATACAATTAATTTCCAGCTTAGATCTGACCTTAACGATCCTAATATTGAAATCTTAACAATTGAAATTACCAAAAACAAAAGCAAGCCATTTCTACTTACCACATGGTATAGGCCCCAAACGACCCTATCGACACACTTTATAAATTTGAAAATTGCCTTAAATTGATTGATAATGAAAATAAAGAAAGCATTATTTTAGGTGACGTTAATTCGGATATCCTAAGTAGCAATCCTTCACATCTTGTCTCTGAGATGAATTTCATCACTAATCTTTATCAATACGAGCAATTGATAAATGAACCTACAAGAGTCAAAAAGACAACGCAACTTTGATTGATCACTTTTATACAACAAAACCAGACTTAATAATTTCTAGTGGGGTAAGAATTATCACTATTAGTGACCACTACTTAATTTACGGTATTCGTAAATTTTATACAACCAAGGGAGCCCCGGAAGTTGTAGAATATCGGGATTTCAAGCACTTTAATGAAAACAATTTTCTTTTTGAGTTGGAATCATTATCAAGCCTAAATTTAGACCATTTAGATCCCAACATTTCTTGGTTAACTTGGAAAAATAAATTTCTTCATATTGTCAATAAACATGCACCCTTAAAAAAACGTAGAGTGTCTAAGAAACGTGTACCTTGGTTAACCCGTGAGTTAAAATATTATAAACGCCAAAAAGCATATCTTAAACGAAAGGCAGCTTTATCTAACTTAGACGGCGACTGGGCAGCCTATAAATCATTGAAGAATCATTATAATAGATTGATTAAAAGTACAATGCGTCAACACTATCAAGAAAAGATACATAATAATTCAGGTGATATTAAGAAAACATGGAAAATAATCAATGAGGTGATTAACAAGTCAAAAAAGCCAATAAAGTACTACAGCTTAAAAATGAAAATAACGAAATTATTGATCAAGCGGATATCCCAAATCAGTTTAACAAATATTTCATTGAATTAGGGGATAATTTATCTAATGATATACCCTTATCAACGTCAACTCCCGACAGATATTTTACCAATTTTCAATGTCCAACTGACACTTTATCGCACTTTAAAGAGGTATCAGAGACTGTAATATTGAGATTGCTTTCTAACTTAACTATATCCAAGGCATCCGGTCTTGATCAAATTTCGGCTAAAGTTTTAAAAATTGCAGCACCATCTATTGCTCCATCACTTACTTTAATTTTTAATCAATCAATCCGCACTGGCATATTTCCATCTGACTGGAAAGTTGCGAGGGTTACACCAATTTATAAATCTGGGGAAAAATTCTGCATGTCCAATTATAGACCTATATCCGTTATTTGAATTGTTGCAAGAATCATGGAAAAGCTAATACACAATCAGATCTATGAATATTTGATTAAGGAAAATCTACTAGCAAATTCCCAACACGGCTTTAAGCCGAACCATTCAACTCTAACTGCGTTGCTCGATATCACAAATAGATGGTATCAGAATATGGACATTGGCCAACTTAATGGTGTGATATTTCTTGATTTAAAAAAAGCATTCGATACTGTTAATCACGACATCCTTCTTAGTAAGTTGGCAATTTATGGCATAAGGGGGTCGGCATTACGCTGGCTCAACTCCTATTTAACAGGTCGAATACAATATTGCCAAGTGAATGCCCATTTATCTGATCCTCTATGTGTGACAACGTGTATACCACAAGGTTCGGCTCTTGGTCCACTCTTGTTCCTAATCTACATAAATGACCTACCTAATTGTCTGGAACACACTAAAGTCAATATGTTTGCCGACGATACCCAAATTGAAACGGCAGGTTATGATGTTAATACAATTGCTGAGGAACTTAATCAAGATCTAGAAAACGTTTCAGTTTGGTTGTCGGCAAATAAACTAACTTTAAACAAAACGAAGACAGAATACATGATAATAGGTAGTAATAGAAGAGTCAATTATATTAACATAACGCCTAATATATTCATAAAAGACAGAGAAATTAATAGAGTCAAAACGACCAAATCACTCGGCTTAATGATTGACGAAACACTCTCATGGAATGCTCAAGTTGATCAAATTACAAAAAAGGTTAATTCAGGTCTCAGTATCCTTAAAAGATTGAGAGACATTCTAGATTACCAAACACTGATCAAAATTTATTTATCAATAATTCAACCACATTTCGACTATTGCTCACAGATTTGGGGTTGTCTGGGTAAAGTACTATCTGATAAACTCCAGAAGCTTCAAAATAGAGCATTTCGAATAATAACTCGTGAAAACTATGATACACGTACAATCGATGTTTTGAACAAGGTCGGTTTTCCAAATCTCGTGACTAGAAGAAATCATCATTTAGCCGTCCTAATGTTCAAAGCCAAACATAACATGTTACCAAATTGCTTAACGGAACTTTTCATCACCTCAAATGAAATACATAATTACAATACAATACAAGACAGAGCGAATTCAATTTTGCATTACCTAAACCTAAAACTAATTTTATGAAAAAGTCTTTCGCCTATCGAGGAGCTGAGACTTGGAATAATCTGTCTGCTGACATAAAAGCTAAAACAAGTATCTCTACATTTAAAAATAGTCTAACTGTAAGTGTGTAATTTGTGTGTAATTTAGTTATTATTATTAGATACTGTAGTAGTATATGTGTAATTAGTATAGCTATATACGGCCTATTGGAAGATCACCCGTCTTAATTTTTGTAAATATCTTGGTGAAATAGTACCGTTTTTAATAAAGTCAATAAAGTCAAAGTCAAAGTCAACTTCCATTCTCTCAGGATGGCGAACGGTAACTCGAAATTCATCCTCGGTATCACTATAACTGTTCGATCTTTCGTCTTCACTCTCATTGTGAGGTACACGTTTTGTAGCTCGATGTGTTTCCGTTGTCTTTCGAGTTAATTCGCGCCAGTTTTCTAATGGCAGATGTTCGCATGGAAGGAGAAGATTTCTATATAGCACGCGATTACGTCCCCGTCCTGTTCGGGTCTTAACTCGTAGACTGGACTCTCGGGTTCCTTTCGTGAAACGAATACGTGTACTTCCTCTTCCCAAAATGCTCGAAGTTTCCCCGGTCCTCCCCTCGGTGAAAGGTTTCGAACAAGAACACGATCTCCTGGTTGTAAGCCCGTGTAGTGTATACGACGATCATAGTTCTTCTTTCCTTTTTCGGCACTTTTCGTAGTAGCTTCGTGAGCAATTCGATAAGCCTCGCTCATTGCAGTTTTCCACTTCGACACATAATCTGATCGTGAATTACTTTCCGCTTTGTCTGGCAAGTCAAACATTAAGTCAATAGGTAGTCTGGGACTTCTACTGAACAGTAGATAGAATGGTGTATAGTTCGTGGAGTCGTGTACAGTGCAATTGTACGCATGGATGAGTTTATTAAGGTGATCTTTCCATCTTGACTTATACGACTCTGGTAGTGTTCGCAGCATGCCTAAAGCTGGTTTTCCACTTGCGATTTTTTTCGCGCGAAGCGAATTTTTCTTTTGTCTTTATCCAATTACTTCAACATGGTTTCAGTTGAAAGACCAAAGACAAAGGAAAAATTCGCTTCGCGCGAAAAAATTCGCAAGTGGAAAACCGGCATAAAGGCCTGATTCCACGACGGCGAAATTCTTCGCACGAAATCGTGTGTGCGAAATGCCGAAATATGATGGATGGCTGCACATGAGTGATTCTATTGAATTTGCACTCTTTTTTTCGCTTTCGCAGTGAGTAGAACGGACTTCTACTCACTGGCGAAGCGAAATTTTTTCTCGCGAAGCCTACTTTATCTTTACTGCGCATGCACGATTTTATTTCGTGCAAAATATTTCGCATTTCGCCGAGAAAAAGCGCCCGTGGAATCAGGCCTTAACAAAGTACGGTTCATCCGCTCAACAATGCCATTGCCTTGAGGATGGTACGGTGTAGTCCGAAAATGCATTACGCCGGTTAATTGTTCTAATCGCTTGAAAAGATTGTTCTCAAACTCCCCGCCCATGTAGTGATTTGGATTTTTTGGGACGCCAAACCGTTGTATAAAATCATTAAAAATTCTATCCGCCGCCGTCACACCGCTCTTATTAGCGAGCGAAATGCAAAAAATTTCGCGCGAAAAGGTTGAACGCATGCGAACATGATTTTGGAATGTTTCTCAGCGAAACATTTCTCTTCGCCGGGTAGTTGAATTGGTTTCTACTCCGTTTCGAAATGGAAATAGCGAAACCAATCAAATGCTTGTGTTATGGATGACAAAATAGCGAAACCAATCAAATGCTTGTGTTTTGGCGAATTTTTTCTCTACTGTGGGGATCACTACGAGAGAAAATTATTTTTCGCACAAGTGTGTTTTCGCGCGAAATAATTCGCATTTCGCTAGTCGTGGAATTAGGCCTTTAGAGTGTTTGGCAACTACAAGGGCAACGGCAACGGCAATATGGTCATCAACAATAGCATTAATCCTCAAAGACAAAAGCGAATGTAAATTACATGGTCTTAAGCGTTGTGCAATGCCGTAGTTGTTGAAACTAGTACGTGATTTGCATCATTTTCACGGTGCATGACTACGGCAACAGTTAATTCGTTCAATGTTATTTGAGGTGTTTTATTTGAATTCGCGGACTATTTTTACTTAAGGGTACGTTTGAAAGAAACAGGAATACTTAAAGAGGCAAATTAAGTGTAGTAACGTATACTTTTGCTCAAATAGAACAATATAAGCAATTATATTTTCCCCCTTTCCGTTATCGTTGCCGTTCTACGTTGCCAAACTCTCTATTTTTTGTAGGGTAGGCTTGAGAATACTTAGTAAAATGATCGACAACTACTAAAATATACTGGTAACCACCAGAACTCTGCTCGAGATGTACAAAGTCAATCGAGATTAATTGGAACGTGGCAGTTGTGACAATTGGTTGTAGCGGTGCAACTGTATGTCGATTGGATTGTTTTTGCTTGAGACATCGGCAGACGTGATGGATAAAATGTTCGATGTCCTTTCGCATGTTTGGCCAGAAGAATCGCTGACGTGCAAGATCTAATACTCGTTCTACGCCTAGGTGTCCCATTTCTTCGTGAAGTTCCCTGTAAACCATGCGCTTAAACTTGTGGGGTAGTACCAACTGTTACTGTTTTGTTCACATTTATGATTTAACTGATGCCATTTACAGAGGTTCTTTCGAACTTGTGGTGCTTCTCGTCCTATTTCTGTTACAGAAGGTTTATGACTGGTCTTTACGAGTTGTAAAACGCGAGCTATTGTAGCGTCCTCGTGTTGTGCTTTGACTATGTCCACGACCTTTAGTCTGACCGCGTAGCTCAGTTGGCAGAGCATTGGGCTAGTATTGCAAAGGTCGTAGGTTCGATTCCTACCGTGGCCAGGCATATTTTTTAAGCCTGCCGGGTGTGGATATACAAGCCAAGTATTAGCTGGGTAGTTTGCAAACTTTAAAAATAATTGGACCTCAAACTTTTATCTCCAAACATAAACCAATAGCCAATACTGCGAACATAATCCAAGTTTTGACCACTAGGGGCAGTTTTTAGATGTAAAAAAACTTGTTTAAATTACATATCAAACAAAGGCAAAACAAAATTTGGTATTAATTTTTTTTGGAGGGATCGTCAAGGTTTTTTTGCTATCTGCCCACGCTTCTACACCCCCTCTCCCACGATATTCTATCTCAAAAAACTGTTATCTGCAGAATCTATGCTTTTTTCTCGGAAAAATTTTTACTTTTCTCAAAAAATACATTATAAACACGAAAACCTTAAATATTTAAATAATTTTCATACCTTTTTGGGAATGCAAAAAGCAAAATTTGATTCATTATTCCACTTTTTAAAACATACAGTACTGCTCAGAAATAACCTAACACTGCGTTCGCGGTCGGAACGCGGTCAGAACGCGGTCGGAACGCGGTTGGAATGCGGTTGGAACGCGGTCGGAACGCGGTTGGAACGCGTTCCGATCCAGAGGAAACTTGGAAACGCGTTCCCCACTTTGGCTGAAAACCGCGTTCTCGCATCGGAAAATCCCGACACCGAATGAAACATGAGCTACTGTATACCAGCCAGGTTTGACCCAGACTGAAACTGGACACAGTCCGGGCAGCATGTAATCACAAATAATTTTAAAAAATCGTCTTAATGGCTTTGTTTAGCGTGTTTGTTTCAACTGTATATGTAACCATAAACACACAAATCAAATAGCCGAAAATGCTTCAAATCGCGATCGTGTCTTTCAACCCGAGCTAGAAAGGTCTGTGTTGTGCACAGACTACATTTCAGCAATTTAACAACATGGGATGGAAATATATAGTTCCGACTAAAACTCAGCCGGCTCAAACTGCTCATGACCAATAAAATAGGTCGCTATCAAACGTGCACAGTTTATTTTAAATGTCGCCGCTTGTGTAAATTTTTTTTACGCATAACTAAGTCACAGATTATAAAGTATAAACATTTACAATTAGTCAAAATACTATAGTGACTGTGACATTTTTGACTGCCCAACTTCTCGGGTCGATTCTATAATATAGTGCATGCTTGCAATATACTACATTTACTAACAATTGTACCAACTTATGATGATGTTTCCTTACTGTGGCACGCAAATACACGCATATCAGCAATAAACATCGCTTGCATACTATTGTTGCATGAGTTAAGATTGAAATTATATTTATCTGTGTTTCTATAGTCTACAGCTGGATAGCTAATAAACTGGACGACCTCCTTACCTTGTGCTTTTTCCGGTATTAGTTTATCCATTTAAAACTCCTCCTGTTATCACAGAAACTTTGATAGTGTAAACCTGGTTTAGTCTGATGATGATTTTATAAAGTCCAAACACTGTGATATTTTGGAAATGAAATTCAATAGCCTATTCAACACACGCGTGAGCGAATAACTTTTGACAATAATTTCCATAATTTTAGACAATACTGTTAAAGTCATTAAAATTCCTTCAAAACTGTTTTTATTTATTTTGATGCCCTTTAGAGTTTTGTGAAAAGCGCGAGCATTTTCTACATGGTCATCAGAAACCTGATGGCGGGTAGAGGAAATTATAGCTAGATTGTGTTTTGTTTTGTCCAGGAGTACGCACATACATGTATGTGATGTGTACATCATAGGTTATTTTGATTCGCGACTCATTAGTGGAAAGCAAATATAAAAACGCGGTTTCATATGCTTTATAGTGCGAACACAAAATGTGCAAATGAGGCTGACTAATACTCGGGAAATCGCGATGATTTCCGACGATGTCCGGTTTCGATACGAGTGTAACCGGAACGCGTTCCGCAGATGCGTTCCGGTAACAGTGGAACGCAAATGGAACGTAGTTGGAACGCGAATGGAACGCGAATGGATCGCGAATGGAACGCGAATGGAACGCAAATGGAACGCAAATGGAACGCACTTAGGAATGCGTTCCGAACGTGTTTTCACTGTTAGGTTATTTCTGAGCAGTACTGTATGTGACAAAGTTGCTTCGAAATCACCATCACGCAGTAGCATGTTTATTTACCCTCATCCTTTTGACCGAATAGAGTTTATCTTTTTGAACAGCTATTTGTTTTATAGCTCTTGGTTACCGGTTTACGTTTATGTCGATTTTGGCAGCCACGAGACCAACAAGTTGTGGTAAATTATCCGCGAATGAAAATGGACATTTGAAGAGCACAAAAGCCAACTCCTAGCTATGCAACTTTATCGCCTGAATTTTGAATCAATCCACAATTAAAATGCTGATAATGTAGATGTTTCCATACTTGAAATGTTAGTGAAGTTTTCCCTACAATTTAATTTCCTTGATCGCCGTCTTAAAAATACAAAATCATAACTTAAAATTCCACTCGTGTTGTTTTTTCAAATTTTCGAATTTTTGTAAAATATGGCGTGCGCCAGCAATTTCTCTGCACAGCGACAACAAATTTCCCAGCTATTCCCAACCATAGATATAGGAGATCTAGATTGCTAACGCATACCTAGCGCAGGCGGGGCCTACATGATAAATCCAAGATCGCGGCGGTACAAGAGGGCAAAAAGACTATAGATTCTATTACGAAAACCAAGATTTTTGCATTTTTTGCCGTCGCATTGTTTTGAAACTTATTCGGTCAAATTTTATGGTAAAGAGAAACTTACCGCAAAGATTTTGAGCATATATATGATTGAATTGCATGAAAACTCGCAAAATTATCCAGCGATAAAAGTTCGTGTATAGTACTGATATAGTACTATATATGTAACTTGTACAGTTTTGCTTTAATTTTTGCTCACTATTTGCATGGAAAGCAAATTATAACAGACCATAGATGATAGACCCTTATCCAGTGCTCTCATCAGTTTACTTCTCTAACAAGCAAGGAGGGGGGTGGGGGAACATAACAGTTCATTTTTCATAATTATGAGGACAGAGCAGATGATGATGAAAGATGCAAGTATAAAACACCATTCACAAGACTAGATGTT